TGTAAGTCTGGTCCATTTTGCCAAAATTTTTATAATATACATCAGGAAATTTGTTTAGGCATAATTTAGTGTAATATTTCGGAGGTGGTGTAAAATTTCGAAATATTACACTAAAAACGTAATATTACAAAAGTTTACGTTTTTAAATTTGAATAATAATAGTAATTTAAGAATATCTCGCTATCTACTGATCCAATCAAGACGATCTATAGCTCATTGGAATCAGCTCATCAAGACGAATCGAATGGTAGTAAAATCGTATCTTTACGTTCGATAGATGATTTTCTATTAATTTAAAACTTTACTGCATACTATAGAGCGTTCTATCAACTGTAGAAATGCGATTTTACTACCATTCGATTCGTCTTGATGAGCTGATTCCAATGAGCTATAGATCGTCTTGATTGGATCAGTAGATAGCGAGATATTCTTAAATTACTATTATTATTCAAATTTAAGAGCGTAAACTTTTGTAATATTACGTTTTTAGTGTAATATTTCGAAATTTTACACCACCTCCGAAATATTACACTAAATTACGCCTAAACAAATTTCCTGATGTAGAAGCAAATAAAAACTGGAAATGTTCCTCATTAATTAAATATAACAAAACCCTTCTTTTCCCTTTTCTTTAATTGTAAGTCTAATTCGTCTTTCCTACAAAGTAGAAGCAAACAGAAACGTTAGAAATGCTTCTTATTAAATAAATCTATTCATTCCCTTCCCATTATTACCTGTAAGTCCAGTCTTAAAAACAAATTCTAAATAGCGTCCATAATGTTTCTATAAAAAAAGTTAGAAAAAGAACATTATTAGTAGCGTTCTCAAAGTCAGTTCCACTTCAAACTTAAAAAATTAGAAGCAAAAATGGAACTTACCTAAATCTTCTTTATACGTTTGAGTATTATGAAATTTGCCGTGCACCTTATTTAAAATTTTTTTTGCATCTTATTTGAGGTTTCACCTATGACGTTATTAAATGGTAACAGATGTATCATGATCTACATAGATAGATTAGATAGTGCTCCACAATTTACTCACCCTAATATACTTGATTGGCCGATCTACACCTAATTACAGTAGTGAAATTTTTTTTAAAAAAAAAAAAAATTTTTTTTTTTGATTCTTGGAAATGGAGACGAGTAAGTGCCTTTAAAATTTTTTTTTGTTTTTTTATGTAAGAATGTTTATTAACGTTTTTTTACTTCTTTTTTTTTATAGATTTCAGCCGAACTTGGAAATGGAGACTGGTGAGTATTTTTAAAAGGAGGAAGCGAGTTTTATGTAAGAACGTTTATTAACGTTCTTTACTTTTTCCTTTTTGTAGATTTCGGTTCGGAACTCAAAAATGGGAGCCGGTGAGTATTTTTAAAAAGGGAAGTGAGGTTTTTTTTATTTTATTTATGCAAGAACGTTTATTAACGTTCTTTTACTTCTTTTTTTTTGTAGATTTTAGCCTGTAACTCGAAAATGAAGACCGGTGAGTATTTGGGAAAGTAGGAGGATTTTTTATATTTTATTTATGTAAGAACGTTTATTAACGTTTCTTACTACTTTTTTTTTGTAGATTTTAGCCTGGAACTTGGAAATGGAGATCGGTGAATATTTCTAAAAGGGAAAGTGGTTTTTTTTATATTTCTTCATGTAAGAACGTTTATTAACGTTCTTTTACTACTTTTTTTTGTAGATTTTAGCCCGGAATTCGATAATAGAGACCGGTGGTGAGTATTTTCAAAGGGAGGAAGCAGATTTTCTTTATGTAAGAATGTTTATTAACGTTCTTTTACTTTTTTTTGTAGACCTAATCTGATTTTAATAAAATTTTAATTAATGCTAATAAAAAATGGCTTTAATATATTAAAACCGTCATAATTATTGTTAAACAAATTACCTTGTTGTTAAATAAACTATTTATCAAAATAAATTACGTTTATAAAAATAAAAAATATATTACGCTGGTAAAAATAACGTGAAGTATAATAAGAACGTTTTACAACATTTTTAGTAAGTTATCAAAAAAAAAATGTTGCGAAACGTTTTTTTTTAAAATAAAACATTTGCCAAAAAAAATGTGAAAAGTTGGCAAATCGGTTCAGTAAATTTACTGAAATGATCAGTAAAATCTACCAAAACTGACCGGTAAAATCTTCCGAAATGATCAGTAAAATTTACTGAAACTGATATCAGTTTGGTAATTCAGTTTGGTAAATCACAATACCGAAACTGTTCTGATATCGAAACCGATCAGTTCAGTTCAGTAATTATTGAAACCGATTGGAGCCCTATAAAAAAATGCTAATTTTACTGAAAATTACTGAAAAATAATAATAAAATATAGTAAAATAGGCATTTTTAAAGATATACACAAGTCTATCAAATTTTAACAAATTATAATAATTATTTTTTTATTTGAAAGATAATCATAAAAATGCAAATAAAAATATTCAACATATTTGAAATTTTAAAAGTTATTTATATGCAAATAAATATATAAAATAACCTCAAAAAGTTATTATATTTTATAATCAGATAATCTTTTTTATATTTTAAAAACATTTTTTTTTATTTAAAATATAAAATCTATGAAGGATTATCTTTCAAATAAAAAAAAAATTGAATGATTTTATCAAAAACTTATATATTTTTATGCAATGTGAAAATTACCAAGCATTTTTTAAAGAAATCTGGTAATTTATTATAGGCTTGTATATGGGATCTTTGCAATAGAAAGGTACGAAACTCAAAAAAAATTAAAAATTAAATTAATATTAAATTTGCATTTATTTCAGTAAAAAAAAACATAATTAGCATATAAAGTAAAATTAAAATTTTTTTTGAGTTTCGTACTTTTCTATTGCAAAGACTTCATATATGCAATGCTATACAGTATATATAAATAGTATTAGAATTTTTACTTAATTAAAATTAATAAAAATAGTTAAGATTAGTTAATTTTATGAATAAGAAATTATTTATATTTTTATTATATTTAAAGTTTTACATTATTTTAATAAAACCCTATTTTCTTTAACTAAACATCCAATATTATTTCATGTGATTAATTGTGTTAACTTAAAACTTTTCTATTAAATTATATACAGTAAATTAGGATCCCGAAAAATACATAAAAAGGTCACATTTGAGTTTGCTTAAAAACAACCTAAATTTTCATGAAAATCTTGCCTTTTTTAGATAGTGCTGGCCTAAATTTTATTGTCCGTTTTGATACTAGCCAGTATTATCATAATTCCGGCCCTGAAAAGTTGCTTATTTTAGGCCAAAATCTTACCGATCATTTATGACTTCCATATGTATTTTTAGGGGTCCTAGTAAATTAAAATATAATCAATTGATTATATGACCAATTGGTAACTGTTTTTTATATCAATTTTATATATAAAAAGTGAATTGCGATATCAGAATTCACTTTTTTATATCAATTTTAAATCAATTAATATTTTTTTGACAAGTTGCACTATTGTAACAGGTTTATCATGTTATTTTTAATGCAACTAAGTATAAATAAATATATGTGAATCTTCATCTAAAAATCAAAAGAAAAATGTTATATAAAAAGTGAATTGGAATTCACTTTTTTATATTGATTTTATATTTAAAAAGTTAGTTGTAATACTTTTTATACGATTTTAATATAAAAAACTAAATCGCAATATTTCAAAAAAAATGTTTTGCCCCATTTTTTTTTGATATTTTTAATATAAATCCTGAAAATTTTCAGGTTTCAGTTCAAGTCAGGTCAAACAGATAATCTGATATAACCTGACTTGACCTGACCTGAAAAAAAATTTCAGGTCAGGTTTATCAATTAACCTGACCTGACCTAACCCATTCAGAACTCTACTTGCATATTCATTCTAAAATAGATATTTGATTGTAAACTTTCTAAACCATTAAGAAGGTTAAGAATATTAACTTTTCTATTAGAATCTATATATTCTTTTTCATTTTGTTTCGAACATCTATCAATTCAAAAGCCCCAACTTTTTTTAAAAATAAAATTTCTTAACAAAACTAAAATTTTTTTTGTATATTTCAATTTTCAAAAATTAATGATGTGTACGCTACTAATTTATAAGGAATTATTCCTTTAATTAAATTTATAAAGGTAAGTTTTGATTTGACCATATATAGCATAATGCAGCATTTTCTACAATTTTCCACCATTTTTCAGGAAAATATGGAATTTGCATTTTTTGAAATTTGGACAATTATTATCTGATACTTTATTATTTAACTAGTACTCTATATTAGAGAAATTGCAAAATATACCTAGGTAAATTTCATTTACTCTTAATACATGAATGTCAAAAAACCAGATTCTATTTCTTAGAATTATGGCTTATTGGATCAGTAAAAATTGGAAGTTTAAAAAATTACACTTGAATTTTATTATTTAAAAAACCTTTATTCTAATGAAAATTTAGCTAAAGTGTTTTTTCAAGTATTAAAAGTAAAGTTACTTACTAAAATTAAGTAATTTAGACTAAGGGTAAAACTTTTTTATTGCTAAAAGTTTAGGCAATTAAAAATAAATTTGCTGAAATTTACAATGCCAAAACTATTGCTGAAAGTTCAAAATTATAAATATAATTTAGTTGATAATTTAATATTTTATATTTATAATTTATTTAATTATTTTAATTTAATAAATCTGTTTATTATTTTATTTCAATTTATTTTAATACTATATAATATCAATTATTACTATTAATTATTCACTATAATTATCATCAGTAATATTATCATTATTACAGTATCTGGATATTGGCAAAAACAGAAAATCAATTTATATGAATTTGTATTAGATTTAATTTGTATAAAAATGAATGGACTTAAACTTGGCACATTAGTATTATTTTATATAGCTATACAGAATAAAAAATGTAAATTGTTATGTAATATTGGCTAGAACTTCTTTTTTAAAAACAAGAAAAAAAAAATTTGCTAATAAATTAAAAAAACACAAGCAGATTTGTAAAAATACATTTACTGTAAATTTTTGTTATAAGATCTGTGATTTGTATTTGAAACACCTAGTTCAGTTAATGATTCATATGTTATTAGTAAATTTGTGAAAACTTTATTAATGTAATAAATTAGCAATATTATTTTTTACAATCTCTGGAAAATCTTTATGCTCTAATATACTTGCAACTTCTCTAGCCTTTTCGATTTGTCCACTAATAACATAAGCTTTCACCATTTCCTCATAAGTACTGGGTTCTCTTGGTACACGATTACTATTAGATGTATCATTAAGATCTATCATATTATTAAACACAATTTCTGCTCTTTCCCACTTGCCTAACTGACCATAACCTTTAATAAATAAATTTTCAATATAGGGGGTTGATTTTACATCCTTCTGCGTTATCATTACATCATAATATTCTTCAGCTTCGGAGATACGATTATTAACAATTAGTGCATCAAATAATGCTTGATACGTATTTTCATCCGGTCGAACATTATGAAACTCTTGCATCGAAGTAAATGTTTGTAAAGCATTTGGTATATTTCTCTGACAAACTCCGTAACCGTAAATTAAGGAAGCGTAATGTGTAGGTTGCGGCTCCATTCCATTTTGTTTCATTAAATCAAATACACTCAATGCTAACTGCATATCATAAGGTTCAATTGTAGCATAAACATCTATTAACAATTTGTATGTGTGTTCTGATGGACTCAATTTATGTTTTCTAATTTCTTCGAAAAATTGAAGTGCCTTTTCCCTATTGCGTAAGTCCCAAGTGTAAAATTGCATCATCGTGTTGAATGGTCCAATACGTGGTTGGTACCTTTCTGAACTTTCCATTTCTTTAAAAACCGAAAGAGCTTTTTCTTCTGATTTCACACGAACACATGCTGCAATCAAAGCTCCATAAGTAACTACATTACGTTGAATTTTTAATCGTTTCATCTCTTCAAATATTTCCCATACAGCATCATATTTACGTGCTTTTCCAAGTTTACTAATTAAAACGTTGTAAAAATATGTTGTAGCTCTTATATTACGTTTCTTTATTTCATTATAAAATTTAAAAGCTGTTGAAGCTTCATCCGTATCCCTTTCACCTTCACATATCATATAATCAGCAATTGCATTAGCATCTGGATAACGACCTGAATCAACAATTTCTTGATACATTTGATTTGCGCATTCCAAATTATGATTAACCGAATATGCAACAAGCATACTATTACGAGCATAATGCAATGTATTTTCTCTGATAGGAGATTTCCATTTTTGATGAAAATCCAAAGCATGATTGTAAATTTCCTTTGCTTTATCAAGCTCCTTTATCTTTCCTAAATTCCTTATAGCTTGACTAACAAGTTCAGGAGTGGGTAACAGACCTTCATCAAGCATTTTATAAAATTCTATCATAAGATAATCCGCATCAAAGCGATTTGATCTGCAAAGGTTTGCCAATTCGGCTGATCGATTAAATTCTTTAATTGTAGGTTCCCTATCAGAAGCGGGAGAACAAATTTCATTGTCAGAAGATATAGTAGAAAGCAACTTATTCCATTTTTCAAAACTATCTTTATCTGATAATTCTTTTAATTCATAACTCACTCTCGACAATGTACTGTAAGGTATTGTATTTCCACTTTGTAAAATATCATTCGCTATCTCAAAAATTCTAGAACTAAGTATATCTGAATTCTTATCTTTATGATGATAATTGGAAATTGAAGTTTCAAATAGATCATGTATTTGGACGGATTCAAGTTCTTTTAATTGCGGAATCAACCTTCCCTCTTTCTTTAGTGCATCATATTTATCCAGTTCAACAGATTCAATTTGTTTCCTTTTTAATGTCCATAAATTATATTTGGCATTAATAGTATCTTTGAGTGAAAGACGTGGATCTCTTAGCAATGAAATGTAATTCTCACTATAATCTGGTTGCGATTTAGGATTTGTTGGTCGCCATATATTATTGTTATTGTAAAAATTATCTGAAGCAATCATAATCTTGAATAGAGCCAGACATTTTTTGTCGATTTGTCCAATTTGATCAAAATGTTCAAGAATCTTATTTGTTAAATTAGCATCAGTAGAAAATCCTATTTCTACCATATCGTCCAAAAGTTCCAAAATTCTATTGGGATCCTTTTTAAGAGTTAAATAACAATAACTCGCTCTCTCTGTATATTTAGGAGATAGGCCTTTTTCTTTCATTTCTTGATATATTTCTGTGGCTTTTTCATAATCTCCCTTGTTTGAATAATTTAACAACAAAATTTCATATGTGAATAAAATGGGATCAGGTAACGATTCATCAGTCTTGCATTTTGTAAACCATTCATATGCTAAATTCATCTCTCCATGTTCGCATAAATCTCTAATGAAATAAAAATATGACCATTCATCAGCTACAAGACCTGCTTCGGGAATAATTTTCTGCAAGACTTCAACTGCACTAGGTATGTCATTGAAACGCATATATGCAGAAATCAAGTGATTATATACATTTAACGGTTCACGTTGATAATGTAAATTTTGTTTAACCTGCTGAAATTCATCAAAACATTCCAACACGCTTTGCATATCACCACCATGACTATACATTGATATTAAATAACCGAATGTAGAGGTTGAAACGATATCGTGTGTCTCCATATATTCAAAAACTGACAATCCATCTTCTATCCTCCCAAAGTTTGCAAGAGTTCGTAATAATATATCACAGATATCTACATCGTAATAAACATTTGGTAAACATTTTGTTTTTGTAAATAAATCAAAAGCAAAGTCTGTACATTTCTCTTTCTGTTTCATGGATTTTTGAATTGCAGTTTCATCAGCTGAACTACTCTCTCTCTTAATTCGATTTTCCTGACGAACAATTACATTTGTAAGATCATTCTCAATCTTGCACAATCCTTTTATGACAATACTGTAAGTGTCCAGGTTTGGTATCACATTATTTTCAAGCATATCATTATAATAATTTATCATCTTTTCACCATTTAAGTTACTTGTTTTAGCCTTTGCTATAGTATCAAATAACAAGTTGTAGGTGAGTGTATTTGGTATTACCCCTGATCGCTTGAAGATACGAAATTGACGTTCGGTATCTGTAAGAGATCCTTTACGGTTCAAATATTTCATGTAGTTATTGAATTCAATTATAGATAACATGTCATTTTTTTGCCATATATCAGATTCATTTTCACCTCCAATGCCAGCAACATTAAAATTATTTATTGCTGATGACGTTGAAGCTACAGTTGCTGTACTATTAAATCTTTTATTACCCCGATAGTTTGTTGAAAAATTATTATGTCTAATAAAATTCGGCGATGTTCCCCCTCTTTCAGTTCTTAATGGATTTATCCCGCTTGTAATGCCATTTTGCCTCCTATTATGATTATCGCCAATCAAACTAGAATTTGAGTTTGAAGCGTTGCTATATTGTGAATTTTGCCTACTTGAGCTAGCTCCATGAAATTTTCCTCGATTTGATAAACCTCCATGATGTCCAAATACAGTACTTGTTTTTGCTCCTAGTAAATTACGTGCATTCTGACGTGCCAATGCTACAAATGCTGTATTTGTTTTTATATGCTGCATTTTTTTTTTTTGTTTAATGAAACTCGTTTAAAAAATTATTACTTTGATCCAGAGTTTTATTACCTATCGTTAATGGATACAATTTTATTTCATTTTTAAGTAATTGTAAATGCATTATGATTTATCGTGTTTTTTTTATTGTATTCTATCAGGTTACAATCAGGTGAGATGATCTCTACGAATTATGAGTCATTCGTACATATCATGTGATAAATTCGGGTGATATTAAAATTAGGAACTCATGCGCCGTGCAGAAAATACCTAAAAATGCCAAAATGCCCTCCACTAAAATAAAATGTTATCCATTCCCAACTTGTAAAATAAAACCGTTGTGAACGATAAACTCAAAAATATGGTCTCCTTTTTGGAGTAATAAAATAAGAGATGAAGAACGATAAAGCAAGCAACATATAATAAGAACATTATATAACTAACTATTAAATATGATTGATTCTGGATATATTACTACTTATTATGTCATTGGTTATACAATTTTGAATATTATTTTCGTCCGCTTTCTAATCTCTTCCTTTCTCCTTCCAGCTAGGAATGTATCATATTAATGATAAAATATAGATTTTTCAAACGACTGATAATAATATAATTAAAATAACAAACATACCACTTTTCTAACCTGCGCCAGCGAGCCAGAAGCACTTTGACTTGCTTTACAATCATCAATATCGTATGGAGGGTTAATCATCACCTCATCCAAAACGACAATCGAATCTTTAGCCCATCTACAAGGTAATCTATAAATTACAATGATTTTTAGAATTAGAGGTAATTGAATCAGTCGTTAACTCGAAAATACATATAAATTCAAAGCCTGATTATCGGATGTCAAAAATGAACAAATTGCATCAAAGGGAAAATAAATAAATAAATATACTAAAATTAAATAAACAACCTAATTCTTCTTTACTTACGTCTTGCTCAATGCATCAAAAATATCCTGTGCTTTCTGCGTTACTCCAACTCCAATTCTCGCTAGCGCAGCTTGTGTTTCTCTTACAGCTTGTATTTCTCTCGCTTGAATCCTTTCCATCGGTACGTATCCTACTGATGGAACGAATGTAGAAAAAATACCATTATTTGTGTTTTGACCATTTGCTGAGCTGTTTGCAGTTGAGTTCGTAACAGTTGCAAAATTAGAATTAATATCGATTGAAGATTTGCGATTTGGAATTTGAGCCACTTCTTTAAGAAAACTAATTTTTAAAATTCGAAAATCATATTTCTGGGAACCGCTTGAATTAGGAGTTGTAGACGCAGATGGGGTTTGTTTTCAATAAAAAAAAAAAGGATAAAAAAATTAAGGATAAAATACGGAATTTAAAACTAATTCAGTGACAAGAGATCCAAAAAGGATATGAAGAACAACGCAGTTGGTCTTCGGATCGTAAGCATAAATCTGTCCTTCATACTCGTCATCATTTAGAGTTTTTACTCTGATTGAAAGTCCAAGCGTCCATTCCAAGCCTTTTTGTTGCTGTGACTCTCGATTATCTACAATAGAAACGTTATTACTAGTATTTGTGACAGTATTCGAGTTGTTGCTTTGACTATTAATATTTCCAACACGTTGGCTAACATTGTCAGATGGGGTTCGAGCTGGAGTATGGGACTTTGCGCGTTGCATGTTTAAGAATGAATGAGCAATGAAACAATGAAAGAATGTTGTTATTATCAGTGATTTTCGCCGAGATTTGATAATTATGGCGCAGAATTAGCACTCATTTGTAAATTTTTGAACGGTCGCACGACAAATTATTAAATCACGTGTGTCGATAGATGTATCGTGAAAGTGTAACACTCGCAAGTTTTTAAAATTCTTGTACCATTTACTGAAAATTACGTTTTCTGAAATGGTGGTAAGTTTATATATGCCTATAAGAGTAATACTTTATTCGCTATAAACTAGTTAGCTTAGGATTGTACCATTGAATTATTTTTATTTAAATTTCAGTTAGTTTTGGTAATAGGCGACTTTCACATTCCATATCGTGTACACGATCTACCTCTAAAGTTTAAAAAACTTTTGGTGAGAAAATTTACTATGAAAGATTATATAGATATATAAAATATAGGGTTTAAAATATTTAATTTATTTAACATAACTAATAAAGGTTCCAGGTAAAATACAACAAATTATATGTACAGGTAACGTATGTGATAAAGAAACTTTTGATTACTTACGGACTGTTGCTGCTGATGTACATGTCGTGAAAGGAGATTACGATGAGGTTTGTATAACGTTTTTATATCGCGATAGTAGTATGTGCGAAATATTGGCAGGCCACAATTATAATTCTTTTGTTGAATCTAAAGTTCCCAAGTTGGCCACTTTCAAAAATTATAACTCATGGTCCTCTTCGCATTGGCGTTTTACACGGACATCAAGTGATTCCCGTCGGAGATGCTGAATCATTATCGATTGTAGCGCGTCAAATGGATGTTGATATTTTATTAACAGGCCATACACACAGATTTGAGGCAATCGAATATGAAGGCAAATTTTTTGTTAACCCAGGTAGTGCAACAGGTGCTTATTCTGGGTTTAGTTCAGAGTGAGTGTTCAGAGTGAGTTTTATATTACTTTCAAATGTTAATAAATTTCAAAATGAATTAATAATTTGGAAATTACTTTTTATTACACAGAGATATTAAACCATCATTCGTTCTTATGGATATTCAAGGAGTAGTTGTAGTAACTTATGTATACCAATTAGTTGATGGTGATGTTAAAGTGGACAAGATTGAATATAGGAAAAATTATGATACAAACAGAGTATTGTGATTCATCTCACTTTTTTTTTGTTATATCTTTAATTGTATAATTAGTATTGTAGTAATAAATTAGATCTTTAGTGTATTTATTTCGTAATTATCTAATTATCATAATCACAAAATATTTATCCATAAAAAATAAATGATGTTATTTGTTTCTGACTTTGATGCTTTTATTATAAATGATCTCTCCCGCATTAGCTGTTAATCTCGCCTATTTGGGTCAAAATAATGGTTTATTTAATGTGTTGGAATTACATGATCTACATTCTACATGATACTATATAAGTTACACAGTTTTTTTATAAATCCCGCAGATTTGATCTTTTTTTTTTTTGATAATCAATGTTGTATCGCTCGTCTCATTTAAAAAATTAGCAACGTTCAAATTCACGATATAAAAAGTAGACTATCTCAACCCGTGTCTTATACTGATACGGATCATTAGATATTGGAAGAAATAAAATACATTATATGCCTCTACGGGAAATCCGCTATTCTTTTCACAGAACTTTGATTACTGGTATTCATTTTCATTCTTCGCTTTATAATAAAAGTTTGTTGTTTTGTTTGTATAGACTATTCACTTCAAATGTAAGAACCATAAAACAAATTCATGAAAATAGCATTACTGTTTTTACATTTAAAACTCGTCAATACAGTAGTTTTTGTACAAAAACGTTAGACACATACACTTCAAATAAATGTGTCACTCGCGTTTTTCATCAAATTGATCATTACAGTAGAAAACATGATGTTGCCTTACTGAATTTTATAAATTTTCAAAGGCAATTTTCACAACTCACTTTATTAAATTCAAATTCGACAAATGATTACGCTAATTTTATGAATTTGGACAAGAGAGATGAGCTAGATAGTGCAAAGATTTCAGATGACAATTCAAAAATATCAGGGGAATTCTTTTCAAAAGAAAAAATTCTTAAAGATGTAAAACTTGGACAGTTTAATGAAAAGGTGAAAAAAAAGCTGAGGAAAGATTCACTCCATTATAACATTATTACTCAAAATTTGCACAAGTATAAAAATGATTCTTTAAAAGTATATGAAATATATACTGATGTTGTAAAAAATGGACTTTTGTGTTTCATCAAAAGCCATCATATGAGAATGTTTCTCCAGATTATCTACTATAATCCGAACAAAAAAACATTTGAATGGCTCATTCGAATCATGAAAGATTTTCATTCTTATAATTTAAAGAACCGGATACCATCTGATGTATATAAGATGACATTGTATAAAATGGTGGATCTAAGCAATGATAATAATTCATTGTCTAAAATTCTTGATGCATTAGTTGAAAAAAGTGCTTTTTATGGGAGAGTTGATGCATATCGTATTTTAATTAAATTATATTGTGAACGAGGAGATGTAAGTGAGGCTTTATACATTCTCAGGCGAGTAATTTTATTTGGACAAATACCTAGAAGAGGACTATATAGTACATTGATTCCCGAGTTATGTAAGCAAGGGAAATTAGAAACGGCAGAAGAATTATTAGAGGAATTTGAAGAATATTTGGATATACCAGATATAATTTTGTTTACATCTTTAATTTCCGGATACAGCAAGAAAGGTGAGATAGATAAGATCGAAAAAATTTTCAGGAAACTGCTTGAACTTGGTATTAAACCAGATAGAAAATTATATACGACATTGATTTTTGCTTATCTTCGATGCAGAAATACTCATAGTGCTCACAAAATTTACGAACAAATTGCTGAAAAAAATTTAAAACATGATATTTATTTGTTTGTTTCTCGAATCTATATGCAAGCAATTAATTCTAATTCTGCAAATGCAGGAAAAATATTTGAAAAGATGAATGCTTCTGGAATAATGCCAAATACTGAAACTTATAATCATCTCATATATGCCCATAGTCGAGACAATTCAACTGATACATCAAAAATCGAAAATATATATTTGCAGATGTTAGCACAAAGAGTGGAACCAAATCACTATACTTATGAACTTTTAATAGATGCCATGTGTAAAAGAAATAATTTCTTGAAAGCATCTAGATTTCTTAATGAAATGAAAAGAAAGTTCCCAATAACCAACGTAGCTTTGAATCCCATAATTCGCCATCAAACTTTATCAGGAGACATAAATAATGCATTAAGGTTGTACAACCAAATGATTTCAGTTGGTGTAGAACCAAATTTATATATCTATACGACAATAATTTCCCTCGCAACAGTTTCTTCGAGACATTCATTAGCTGTTAAAATTTTTAAAGAACTTTTAGCAAAAGGCCACAAACCTAATGTGTATGTTTATTCAGCTTTTATTACATCTTTGGTAAAAGCAAAGAAGACTCAAAAGGCAATTAAAATCTTTCAGCAGATGGTCAGAGACAACGTGTCACTTAATCATATACCTTTTACCGCATTGATTCAAAGTTTTGTTATGACGAAGAGATTTGAGGATGGTAAAAAATTATATGAAATGATGAAAAAGATGAATCTGAAAATAGATAGATTCGTATATTACCATTTTGAAAAACTGATTGAAAGAGCTAAACGCAAAGATGAACTTAAATATTTGTATGAAGATATAAAAAGATGTGGATTAGATCCGAAAAGTCGGGATAGGATATATACTAAGGGCAAAGGGCCACGTTATTGGAAGCTAAAATTTTTGGCTCAGAGAAGAATTTTATATCGATTGAAAAAAAAAAATATTAATTCGTAGAGAAAAATGTATCAAAAATTACATTGTAATAAATCTTGTAATATATCTTAAATTGAAATTGAAATTTAAAATACAATATTCTTATTCATTAAACTGGGTCAAGAACACAGATATTTGAATCGCAATACCGCTCTATATCCGGATCGGACTTATCTTCTGACGGGATATCATGAAAATCGACTTTCAAAATTTTCCCATTTGAACCAGAATGCGGAGTTGGTTTTGTTAGAAGAGTCGATATTATACTCTCATATCGTTCAGTATTAATGGCTTCTATCGGCATTTGGGCATAACCACCCGAAAACATACGTGGAAGAAATGAAACACCTTAAAAAAAATTGGATCAGCCACAATGAAGAAAATAAATAACATTAATAATTTTAAATACCTTTTAACTGATATTGGAAATATTCGAGCGCATATTTAAGCATGGGACCCTCTGTCTCAGGTTCGAACGTTACCGTACAGCTAACTTGATTATCAGACCAATATTTTTGCAAGAACGCTGCCAAGCTTAATTGTTCCCACATGGATATTTCTTTTAAACTTCTTACACCTTCTCCATAATCAATAGGTATTTCGACTACCAAAGAATTTGGTTCAACTACATCCGGTTCAATTTTAAACCCAAATTTTTTGAGTGGTTGTATTAATTCCGAAGACTTTGAAAGACGAACACGCCGAATACAATATCTTGACTCAGGGTAATGCATTCCGGGCGTCGCTTGAAAAAAAAAAAAGTTCGATATCGAAACCAAATTGCTATATAATGTCACAAGTATCATAAAAAATTACCTCCGGCTAATAATGAAACAGAACCGCTTGGTTTAATTGTAGTGGTTTTGATAGATTTAGGTATACAAAACCACTCAGATAACCTAAAATTCCATGCTGTTAATAATATTTTTCATAAAATTTTACATTGGTACAGATAGCTAGTTCTCACTCTTTATCAACATTCTGAATATGTTTGTAACCCTCTTCACACCAAAGTTTCAATTTTGACAATCCTATAAAGTAAAAATATTTTAGCAGCAATTTCTAAGAATAGTTAAATAAGTAATATACAACCTTGATGACTGATAAATTGTGCAATGCCACTTAATCCACATCCGATTCGACGGTTTCTTAACATGACAGCATTGCTCTGAGGCCAATGTGTCTTTCCGAGGGTTACGGTTTTCGCATACAAGAATGCGCTTCGTAATGTATCTAAAAAATCTTCTAATGATGTATGATTTAACGGAAATATTTCTACTAAACAGCATAATTCATATGATTCAAGGGTCTGCTCTAAACATGGATTTCCACCTTGAGCACGTGTGTCTTTATGATCCTACAAACATTAATTAAAATAAAATAAACATAAATCCACAAAAAATAATACACTGGATGATTTAATACGTTACAGGTGGATCGCACATTCTACTATACTTTTGAGCATTATCCAACCAAGCAAAGCCTGGTTCCCCATTTTTTTTTATCCGTTCACATATTTTTGTATAATCCAGACCTAAGGGGGAAAAAACCTAAAATTTTATAGGATTCATATTTAATTTATTTAATTTTCAATCTAAATTATGAGAATCGCATTTAAGAAATAAACACTCACAGAATTATTCGACGTCCAGCCATACTCACGTCGATGTGGATTGATTTCATAGTTTTTCAAATTTATGTATTCATTATCCTGTGGGTCTCCGAATGCTATTTCTGCTGCTCTTCGAATCTACAAGAAACAAAACATTAAGTATAATATTTATTATTTTCAAATTGGGACCAATATATTTTACTAACATTCCCGCTAACAACACATTTTCCTATTAAATTCATTAAGTCTACAATAGTGGTAACACTTAATGGTGCTCCAATGTTCTTGCTCAACGTCTGAGAGATATGTTTATGAAGTTGCTTGAGAGGTTGTGGCCCTGATGATACGCCACCAAATCCCTAAATAAAATTCGACCCGGTCAAAATATTATCTGAAAAAGATGCGAGTTTTAGAGCATATTTAATTATATAAAACCTTGATAGGTAAGTTAGGAGGACGAATTTGACTATAATCAAATTCGTATGGACCAACATTTTCATCAAAATAAGAGTCGATCAACTCCCCGACGGACTCTACCCAACCTTAAAGATATGAATCGGTTAAATATATAAAAATTAATCATACGACATGTTTTTTAATAAGCGTAATGTTTACCTTCTCTTGAGTCTTCAATAACATATACAGTTGACGACCGTAAGGTGCTTGGACCCCTGATTAATTTAGATCCAGCGCCTTTAGTATCAAACCCAACACCAACACTACATTTCATGTAGAAAAAAAGATAAGTACGGATATCTTTCTAAAATCTAAATATACATATTGATTATATATAAAAAAAATTACCCCAACATGGAAGCATCCATTAAAAATTTAAATGGCGCGCTGATGGAAGATCGACCATCCCGCATATTTTCAGTACTTACGAATGCACAATTATTTAGAGAGGCATAAATATCACGTTCTTCAGTAAGAGGACTACCCATTGCCCAAAGGCCTAAATATAGTCCATAATTAATACATGTTATTATTGAATGGTAATAGTCGGTTTGTTATTCAGAGATTTAACCTCTTCCAGGTGGTAAAAATTTCATATTAAAGATCTTATCATACATGGATTGAGCCAATTCTTGAGCCTAAAAAAATTCCAGTACAGATTGTTTATTAATTAAAAGGTACCTTATCGTCTGTTACTAGCTGAAGCTAAAAAACATTGAACCTTAATTGGATCCCATGCTAGACCATTTTGTTCGATCCAGCGTTTTTGCATATTAAATGTACCTTTAACTACACGTTCTACCGTTTCCCACCTAAATCAAGATAAATATAATTATATAAATAAATTCCTTCATTTATAATCAAAATGAAAAAAAAGTAATAGAATACCATTGTTCTTTTTTGCCGTCAGCTTTTACCCTCGAATAGGTTCGTCTATATACAATTTCTCCAAGACCATTAAATCCAAAGGAAGGCGCGATATTTTTGTAATTAGAAAGAAATGAGTCATTTAAGAGTCTGAATTCTTCAGCTTTTTTGTGAACACCGTCAGCTGTGATAGAATTTTTAGAAGTACTTGGACGTGCTGAAGAAAAATATTTCCTGGTCCAAAAATTTGGTTTTGGTATAGAAAAATTCTGACGCGATATATTACGAGGTAATACAAAGGTAAAAACAGAATAGTATGAAGATTGAGCGGAAGGTGGAAAATTTCTCGGAGAAAAAAGAACGCACTTATTGAAAATGTAACGCGATAAAACCTTTATAAGCATTTTTTTCAAGAATCACTGTAATCTGGATAAAAAACTTGCATAATTAATCAGTTGCTAGAAAAGGTGGTTTGCGGCTGTGTACTGTGTAACATTTCCGTTTTTATGCGTCACCAAATTCGTCATTTGCTTATCAGAAAAAAAAAAAGCATTACTAAGTTCTTAATTTTAATTCAATATGGATTCTTTTGTCAATAACTTCAAGAAATCGACGTCGATACGGGAATATCAAAGCATATTCGATGACTTTGTCGGATTTGATGCTGCAAAAGGATTTTCTTTACCAACGTTTGATGTTCCGTCATGTCCTAATGTACGTGAATTAGCAAAACTATTTTCTCAATTGTAAACAAAATTCTAAGTAATATTTGTTAATTTAGCCCACTGAGTTTTTGAAAGCTCATACAGATGAAAATTCAACCGCTGAATATCAAATTAAACTTGAACATGGTACCACGACACTTTCGTTTAAATTCCAAGGGGGCATCATAGTTGCTGTTGATTCACGTGCTTCTGCTGGAAGTTTCATTGGCAAGTACATTAATTTTTTACTACCATCAACAATGAATTTCTTTTTAAATTACATTTATTTAAAATAATTTAGCTACACAAACTGTCAAGAAGGTTATCGAAATCAACCCCTATCTTTTAGGAACAATGGCCGGTGGTGCTGCTGATTGTATATTCTGGCAGAGAGAGCTCGGAAGACGTTGCAGGTAAATTCAAATAAATTTCTTTCCAGATTTATATGATAATTAACCTTAGTTTAAACATAATTCAATATTTTAGGTAATATTTAGGAGGAATTAAGTAATTTCATTTTTGTTTTCTAAAATATTCTTATATTTCTTTAATTATATAAGATTATATGAATTGAGAAATAAAGAACGAATTTCCGTAGCAGCAGCTTCAAAGTTATTGGCAAACATGGTTTATGCATATAAAGGAATGGGACTTTCAATGGTACGTAAAAAATATGAATGGAATGTATCATAATAGATTCAATTAATTATTAATTTCATTTAGGGAACTATGGTCGCCGGTTGGGACAAAACTGTAAGTTTAAGAAGTCTTATACAATATTATGTATAATAATAAATAGTCTTCATTGTGGTTTTGTAGGGACCAAGTATTTTCTATATAGATTCAGATGGGACACGTTTGAAAGGAGATTTATTCTCAGTTGGTTCTGGATCTCCATTTGCTTATGGAGTTGTAGATAGTGGATTTGATTATGATTTATCTGTTCAAGAAGCTATTGAACTTGGACGACGTTCAATTTACCATGCCGCCCATAGAGATTCTGCATCTGGTGGTTCCATTAATGGTATGTTATATTTAAATAGCATCAATTTATGTTTAAGTATATCTTACACAGATCTTTTTTACTTAATAAACTTAGTATATCATGTAAAACAAGATGGATGGGAATTTATAGGAAATTATGATGTTGGTGATTTACATTGGGAATATCAAGATCAACCTAAACCAAATCTTATTGGAGATGTACAGCCAATGTTTAATATACAATCATAATCAATATTCAGAATTTATTAATTATACAGTTAAGAATCATTATCAGTTAGAATAACAATAATGTTATTTTAAATTTTTTTTATTACTTTATTTTCAATATTCTTTTAAATAAAAGAAAATATACTGTATAATATATTTTAGAAGTAAACTTTATTGGTAATAATTGTTAAAAATAAAATTAAATAATTATATTATTAAAATTCCAGATATATATATATAAATCAGTTTTTGCACTGGTCAAAATAGTTCAAATCAGGCTAAAGTTCAGTGATTTTAGGCTGATTTGTGGTCTAATAATGGTCAAATTTTAGCCAATTTTTTGGCTGCAGTTTGCTGCTATTTGTCTAGAATTCAGCTTGGAATTTTGTGTTAATATTTGGAACAACTTTTACTAGTTAAACAGTCCATTTCAGTCAAATTTTGGAAAGGAAATTTTGGCCAAATTACAAATAAAATCTGGCTAAAATTAACCAAACTGTTTTACTAAAATTTATTCATTTGTTATTTTTTTTTTTTTAACTGCAGCACATTTGAATATTTTATTAGATAAGAAAATATACAATTTATTATATATATATATATAAATCAAACAACTAATCTAATTTATTAAGTACTAAATCACCTGTTAATTCACAATGGAATAACTGTCAGTTAGAACTCCAAATTAAAGGAGTAAGACCATCTTAAAGGTGTTTTTTTTTAGAAAGGATTTTTTCCTTCCAGTCTACATCTTTAAGTGCACCAAAAACTCACTGTAACTACAACATAAAACCTGAAACTAAAAACAAGAAAATAAAAAAAAGTAATAAAATAAAAGTTAGGTAAAAAATTTATAAAAAAGAGATAAAAAAAATTAACACTGGTCGAAATCAAAACTTTCGGTCATGTGACAAATCGGCTGATCTGTCACACATTTTGGCTAAATTTTGGAAATTATTAAAAATCGGCTAAATTTCGACATATATAATTTATGGTCAATTTATTAATTTTGTTAATCAAACGTTACGGGATAGATGAACTCTTTCCGGAATTATTAAAACCAATATTTCATGGCAGAAAAATACCGCAGGGTATAACTCAAAGAGTTGGAAAAACTTTATTTTATTCATAAAATATCAACGTTATTGTTGCTACTAACTACTAATAGTTTATATGTTTCAGCTTTAACGATACTAACATTATGGATTTTACAAAATTGTCTTTTATTTTTAAAGGTTTTTCGTTTATTAATGATAGCTTTATAGACGATGAAAAATACAAAATTTTAGCAAAACTAGCTGGTCCACTTATCCTACACGATGAATATTTGCTCGCGGAAAGGCTTGGAAATATTAAAATCGTGGTAGCATTGTGGATAAGAATAGTACAAATATTTTTGGTGCAAGAAGAACAAAATAATATTTTCGCGCGTTTTTCAGCATAACAACAAAACAATGACAATCTACCGACTGGATCTAGGAATCTTGTATCAACTTCTAATAATATCCCATACCAAAATGGTACACAACATTTAACCGATGATATCACAGACAAAATTACGGGTTCCAATGTCGGCAACTCTAAAGATTCTAGACATCCCGATACTACGCCCTATCAGTCACGTGATAACAATAAAGAAACAACAGAAATTGTACCACTGAATAAAAAGAAATGGAAATCAAAAATAAGGAACTTCAACCTCTTAATTCAACAGACGAAACTTTTGTTCAACAACAATACAATGATAAGGAGGAATTGGACTTTGAAAAACACAATGGCAAAGTTTCGTCGAAGATACCAACGAATTATGGAAAAAACAGAAATCAGAATACTCACGCATCTGATATGGAGGACATCATTGCCATTCCTGCACTCGACTTTAACAATCAACCAGAAATATTAATAGACATTTCAACAGTGCAGAATAATATAGATATGCCCTCGTCATACGTCTTTCCATCTCCGCTTTTATCGAAAAATAGTGAAGAAGTGGATAATATTTGGAACGAACTGTGGCTGATTAACCAAGACGTAATTATGACGGAAGCCGAAGATAATATAATGGATAACTCCATCTCCAATTATAAGGAAGAAATGGATTTTAAAGATCAAGATGCATCATCAATCCAAGAATTTGAATCAGCCATTAAAACAAAAGCTGACAATCAAAAATGTACGGAAACTGATGATAAGACAGATCACATTTGGTATCCACCTTCAAAAATTAAGAAACCAAAGAAAGTTCTCACAGATATCAAAAAACACTCAACACGCAACCAAACATCAATGCACACGTTTATAGAAGAAAAAGTCGCAACTTATTATGCTTACATTCCAATTAAGGCATGATCCGCCTAAGAATGGCAGCAAACTACTATATAAATTCGGGGAAAAAATTAAAACCAAAAAAAGGCATTATCTCATGATCCAGTGATTAGATTTTGATGATCCCTTTTCGAGTTTATAGCTTTCGATGCACTCTTCAAAACAAAACAAAAAAATTCGAAATTGGACTGATATATCACAATATAATCACAAAAAATGATTTTTTCCAGGTAAATCTTCTGATGCCCCCGATAAATCTTCTGTTGCCCAGAAAAAATTATATTTGCAATTATCTTGTGATATATTGGTCCAATTTTAAATATCTTTTTTTTATTTTAAAGAGTACATCAAAAGCTATAAACTCAAAAAAGGATCATCAAAATCCAATCACTGGATCACGAGATAATGCCTTTTTTTGGTTTTAATTTTTTCCCCCGAATTTATATAGTAGTTTGCTGCCGTTCTTAGGCGGATCATGCCTTAATGATATAAACTTTTATGACTCGGTTGAAGATAAACTTGCCTTCATCGAACTTAATGTATGTAACTTCTCAGACTACGCTGAAGTAGAGTACAATGCGACTGATAAACACATTATTATAAAGAACTACGTAATTGGTGGGATGAGACGCATGGTACGATTGTTTAATCATTTTTTCAAGAACAGTAACCTTAAAATGAAAGAAAAGAAGTACTATACGCTACATGGTCAACGAATAATTTCTAGTAGAGAGTTCAAAATTTTGGAAGTATCTAACAATATAGATAGAACTAGCATCGAAAGTAGCATTAGACGCTTACTGCATAGTAGCCCTTTTTTCATAACGGACAAATGTTTTAAATACAGGTCAGAGAATACTATGACTGTTTACTTCACAGTAAAGGATGAATACGCAAGACAGCTGTTGAAGAATGTATGGTCCATTGATATTGAAAACTATATTTACCATCTTGGCCCTGCGCATTTCAAAGCTAATGATTTTGATGAAAGAAAGAAGCATAGAGGTGAATTTATAGGTTTTGGAAAAGAGCATACAGCGGCGAAAGCTTTGGAAATTACTGCACCTTTCAATCCCAAAAGCGCATTCAAGCAGAGCCCGGACAAGATCATTGTGGAATTCCAAAACGAGGCTGACCTCTTTAATGCTTGTGACAAGAATTATCACTTTAGCGATTTCAATATCAAAGGATATCCATTAGGTTATAACTGGCCACAAAGGGACCGCGCCATAAGTAAATTAAAGAAGTTACAATTTGACAAGAGCAATCATACACCTGACAAATCCATTAATAGGCTCACACGAAATAGCGGCAAACCATGATGATGATTCCAAAGAGAAGGTGAATAATAAACCTCATTTACAAGGTCAACACATAACCCATGGTAGACATACTCACCGGAATCAGAGATTCAAGAATAATTATAATTCGAAAAATCACAACATCAACAAAAAAAACTTAGATAATATACCATCTTGCACCAGTGGATCTAACAAAACCCCGCTAGGCGTTAAATCTCACTGCTCTAGGAATAACAATAAAGACAACATAATCATTTCAGATAATACCTCCTTTGATACTTCAAGCACATATAGTAACACACCCAATAATCAAAATTGCCAAGGGGACTGGGATGAGGTGATGAGTGATAAGTCTCTGCTAAAAGACGCTTACTCACCTCTTATCACTTTTTTGGAACAACTGTATTAAGGAACGAGAGGCGGATCAATAGCCAAGATCTGAATTTTTCCTCTCACTTACATCAAGGCTCACAGTATAAGAATCATAATTACATAACACAAGCTCAAAACAATGGAAAATCTCACGAGGACTCTAAACGAGATAAAATAATTAATAACAGCACAAGAGAATACCCAACTGCATACAATAAAAATGATACACCTGACCAACAACATTTACAAGATATCGATGATCAGGTTATGCAAGATATAAATGATTTACTGAATATGGAACGAAACAGATTTATTAATAAGCAACAAAATCAACCACAAAAGGCAAAATTTCCCACACTTTCCTTTGCCACTCACAATATTAATGGGTTGAAATCAAATCCTGACAAACTATATAGTTTAATAGACGATCTGAAGGATTTTAATATTATTGGACTTAATGAAACCAATATATCACCAAAGGATGGGAAATACATCAACAACGAATTAAATGAAGGTCATATAATATGGTCCAAATGCGATCCGATAAAAAAAAAAGGAAAGGATATGGCGTTATACATGAAAGACAAATGGGCGAAACATATAGGAAAAATCCTTAATCCAACAGACAATATCCTTTATGTTCAATTGATTTTTAAACAATGTTCGATTAGCATAGTTCAGGTCTATATGCCACCCAACGATACCCAAGAAAGAATTGAAGTTGCTAAATTCATCACTGATCAAATAAATGAATATAAAAATAATAATAATAATAATAATAATTATCTCATTATCGCAGGTGACTTCAATGCTATAGTTAATAAACATCAAGATAAATTACATGTCACCAAGCAGTGGAATAATAATCAAATTTTCAACACGTTACTGGACAATGATTTTATTGACACATATAGGGAAGCCAACCCTAACAAAAAAGAATTTACATGGTCTAATGGTAGCAACAGTACAAGAATCGATTATATTTGGCTTAGTTCAAACTGGACAAACGAACTTATACACAGTTCAATAAGAGATGCGAAGACTGTGACTAATAGTGATCACAACATAGTCACGTGCATATGTAATACTAGCGATATCATCAGGAATTACAAAGCCTCTACGTGTGCCAGGAACAATAACGAAAGATTAATTTTTGATTACGTATCAATGGACAACAATAAATAGCAGGGGTACGCAACCAAAACTGATGATGAACTTGTTAATAGCAATTTGGAAATTTTGCTCAACCAAGATTCACATAATATGAATGACATTAATAGTATATGGCAGGTTATTAAAGATATATTATTTAAAGCAGCAAAATCTAAGATTCCCAACAAGAAAATCAAAGTGGAGAAAAATATGGCACGTAAGAAATTGGCGATTACTATACCGAAATTCCTATATGTTCAACTACGGAGACTACGGTTAATTTACTCAATGTGTAACAAATTCATGGAACAACCGACGCAATTTAATCTAAAGAATAGGTTCAATAGATACATCACTTATATTAACAAACATAATCCAGAATTTAAAATAACAGAAGTTCCAACGATATGGAATCAAACCTGGGCACTACATATAAAATCAGCTTGGAATCAAACAATGGAACTGATTAAAAAATACCGCACCAAAGAGCACTACATATAAAATCAGCTTAGAATCAAACAATAGAACTGATTAAAAAATACCGCACCAAAGCACAAAATCAGCAAATTGAAGATTACATCAACAAACGAGCTGCTATGATTAAAAACAATCAAACAAAGATGTTAAACAGCTTACTTAACAGGCACAAAGACAAAATAATAGTTGACAGGCTCGTGCAAGAAGATCCTGTCACTGGCAAAATCAAACTCATTACAGAACCAGAGAATATAATGAACAGAGCTGACGACCAATATGTAGAATTACAGAAACATCAGAGTCATGAATTCGATAATATCCCAGAGGAATGGGCGTTTCATTATGCGTCAATTGCGGAAATAGATGAAAATATATACAAAGACATTATGATAAAACCTACGCAAGAGGAATGGATCGCTACGCTAAAAGAATGCAACGATAAATCCGCTCCAGGTTTATCGAATATAGAATATAAGTTAATCAAGAAAGCTGGACCAAAGACGCAAACTAGTTTACGTTCCTTTGCAGTATTAATATACCGTACGGCCACTTTCCCTGATGAATGGGTGACTTCACAGATCTTACCAATACAAAAGCCTAAAGACTGGCAATTTAGACTAAATAATACTAGTCCAATCCTGTTACTGGAATGTCTCAGAAAATTGTATGTCAAAATAATTAACAAACGATTAAGTCTCATATTAGTATAACACAATATTCTCACAGGTCCGAATTTTGCCGGACTTCCTGGTGGCTCTACAAACATTCTGATACATGTCATAAACTATATTGTTAATGACGTTACCATTTCTAAAAAAGAGCTTTGGATTTGCCTCCAGGATATGGCAAAAGCATTTGATTCCATAGAAATAACACCGTTGACCAAAGCCCTGGAAAGGATTAAATGCCCGACAGACCTAATCAACTTTATAATTAACCTTTTCAAAAACTGAAAATTACAAGTTATAACCACATATGGTTTATCCAAAGGCTTTTATGCTGGGGACGGTATAGACCAAGGAGAGACAATATCGCCCTTGATCTGGAGAATTTTTTACGATCCACTTTTAACTAAAATCAAAGATATCCCAGAAGTAGGTTACAGATTGATTACTCAATGGCCCTAGTCTGAAGGGATCGATATAAACAAGACTCAACACGAATTAAAAACATCAGTTGTCGCATACAGCTTGGATTGCCAGTAATAAAAAGGAGATGGAAACAATTATTGGTATCTCTAATTCATTTTTCAAACTGAATGATATTCGAATCAATGGAGATAAGTCAGAATTGCTGGTGTGGAATGCTCCCAAAGACGTAATCAAATCAATCAAAATGGGCACAAACAATGATTTAGTTGTAGCAAATAAACCCTCTCAGGAATCAAGATATCTAGGCGTATACATTAGAAGCCAAGCAGGCTCATCACATATAGTCAAACGTGTTAAAATGAAATCAAATCTATGGTCAATTTATTGAAATATAAGAAAATAACAGCATCACAAGTGGTCTATGTTAATAACGTGGTACTTATGGCAAGACTAGAATACTGGTTGAAATGCACCTTTTTGACTCAAAACCAATGCAGAACCTTGCATGATCTTGCTACTGAAACAAAAAATGAGAATAACCAGATCGGCGAACAATAATATATTTACTCATCAAGGCCTAGTTGGAATGACCTCGCTTTTACAACACCTTAGGATCACGCAATATGCAGAATTCATTGTTCGAATCAATTCTCAAGAGTGGGGTGGTATTAGCACACGCATTATACTTAGAAACGCACAACTTCGTGCAGGACTAGCAGGATGCATACTCACAATAGAGCCGTCTAAATTATTACAAGTCAACATACCAAACAACTTTAATTTCAATATATTAAAAGATATGAAAGATCAACTATTCAATTTTGACGCAATAAACGTGGAAGATTGGCATTTGGATATACTTGATACAACAATTTTAGATTTCTTATTACAACCTAACTGCAATCACAATAACATATGGTTGGACCATGATTTGTCAGAAAGAAATCGACTAAAGGCATTTGACAATTTTATTAAAAGATCCAACCATTATATTTTATTGAATTCTATAAAACAATTTTTAGGAGGCCAAGGTCAAGCTATCTTACGTCCTAATCAAATTAAAATGACATTAGGAATATCCGCCGCTGGACCACTACCATATTTTGCTAAATATATTATCAAACAGCTATCGAACACATTAAACAGAAATATACAACATCAAGACCAAACATCAAGAATCACTGTAGACCTTACTCCATCACCTAGATATAAACCTATCATCCCGCAACATCCATCTCTTGATAGACGAAGTAGACGAAGGAAAGAATGGGTCATAGTAAATACAAACCGATTCTCTGAAGTAGGAAAAATTGTGGAAAAGAATTCGATAACGACTTTTCTGTACCAACATTAGATCATCTGTGAAGGTTCAGACTTACTTATAAAATGCGCAGGATGTAGTACTTCATCCATGAATGGACAAACGTCGACAGAAACATGCATTAGACGAGGTCACTTTAGCAAAGCTACGGTAATTAAAGTAGAAGTACTTACTAAGAAGATCGAAGAAGCCTCTTTTAAGACTGTCTCTTATACACATCTACGGTAATTAAAGTAGAAGTACTTACTAAGAAGATCGAAGAAGCCTCTTTTAAGATTATCACACCAACCAACCTGATCAAAAGACGCACAATCACTTCAACAGCGGCCTTCCACAATGAACAAAAGTTAATCACAGTAGACATTCCTTTGATAGATCATAACATAATCTCACCACTGGTAAAAAAATGATTTATCCTACACATATCTTACACATATTGGGTACTCAAAATGTAGAAAATCATACACAAATAATACACATATCATATACATATCGGGTACTAATATATATATAATACATATATCAGGTACCTGATAGGTATACTATATATATAAGTACCTGATATGTATATGATATGTGTATTATTTGTGTATGATTTTCTACATTTTGAGTACCCAATATATGTAAGATATGTGTAGGATATGTGTAGGATAGACCATTTTTTTACCAGTGCACGTTTTATCACCTCACCGTTACTTGTTCATGAATTGTGCGATATCAATAGCGCGTTGCAGAGAGAAAATAATAATATCTTTCAAATTTACACTGATGGTTCACTGGATCTTAATTGTAGAAATTCCAGACGAGAGGTAGTCATGGGCGCTGGATGGATTATTAAAGATCACGATTTATCATTTTCTTGTGGCATTAACTATCACCCATCTTTTACGCGACCAGAGCTTTTGGCTATTATGACTGCCTTGCTAGCAGTTCCGAATAATGCTGAAGTGGCGATATACACAGATAGTCAAGCAGCTATTGAAGGAATTAATCGTATGCTTGATGCTTCGTATAGGATCAATCGAAGGAAATTTTTAAAAATGAATAATTATATTATCCTTTTCACCATTTACGATCTCATTAAAACGAAATCACTAACTTTCAACTTACATAAAGTCCGCAGACATTCTGGCAACAGATGGAACGACATGGCAGACGAATTGTGAAACAAGGGAGGGATGCAGCAAGCTGCAATGATGATAGAATTATAGATATTAGACTTCTCTGTAGCTTTAGCTTCTCTTTAACCTTTCTCCCAGTTTGGTATAATATTAGCATAGATAGGCATATTAGATCGTTTACTAGATTAGTGGCTGATTCATTAGAAGAAGTACAATGGTCTTTTAATAAATACTGGAGTTCTTACTTTGAATACTTCAAAATTGTAAACAAAGATATAAAAGAACTTTTTTTACTAAAAAAACATTTCTTTTATTTTCTTTTGCAAAGAAAATCGGTTCTGACGTGGATACCGATATTCTAAGTAAGTTTTGAAAGAATTTCAAAACTTTAATAAAAAAACGTTAATTTTAACATTTTTTTTATTTATTTTTAATTATAGAAAAGTAAAGTTTTAAAAGATTTTCAAAACTTACTTTAAAAAAATGTTTTTAATACTAAAAAGCGTTTTTTTTATTATTTTTTGTATATAGAATTCAGTTCTGGCGTGAATACCAAATCCCAAAAAATAAGTTTTGAATTTTTGAAACTTTTCGAAACTTTAATAAAAAAATGTTTTTTAACGTTTTTTTTATATTTAATTGTAGGAATATTAGTTCTGGCGTGAATACTGAATCCTAAAGGCAAGTTTCAAAGAATCTTTCGAAACTATTAAAAAAAAACGCTTTTTAACATTTTTTTTTATATTTAATTATAGGGATATCGGCTCCTACTTGGATACCAAAATCCCAAAGGTTAGTTTTGAATTTTTTTTTCGAAACTATTAATGTTATAAAAAACGTTTTTTACACTGGTCAAAAAGAGATTTATCGGGTACCTGATATGTGTACGATTCATATTTTATAATACTCCACATATTGGGTACATATCAGATAGTTTTCCAACCCGGTAACATATCATATACCTGATTTTTTTCCATAAACGTACACTTCCGAAAATATAAATTTCAGACTCCCGATATCCCTTCTAATAGTCACTAATATACCTGTCGGACCCTGATAGATATCAACGATTTATCTTATACATATCAAATACCCGATGTGTGCAATATTTATTTTTTCTTATATATTATACATATCATCGAATAGACTGTATATATATTGGCGCATTTTTTATACTTTAGCAACATATCGAATACCTATAACATGCACATCTTAATTCTTAAAATATGTTTAAAAGTTATAAAGTACCAGGATTGATATATATCGGGTACTGATATGTGTACAAAAAACATATTAATTCTTTATTATGTCTTTGTATTTAATTTACTGTAATCCGCAACTCTCTTTATTTATAAATATATTATAATAATATATGCGTTGTTTGTTATAGTAGTACAGAAAACAGAACTTTCATAAGCAGGATGCTCAAGTATTACGATCAGTTGTGAATAAAACTCATATATTCTAAATTCTTATTGGTATTGCTATAAATCATAATCTAGCTATAAAAGTTAGTGTGTAATAAAAAAGCACATATCTAACTTACAAATTCTTCGTCTGATCGTTATCCTTGTTAGCAAGAACATGTCAGCAGTGTACTGCTTTAAGAAAGTTAACACAATAACATAAATCGATTTCATTTTTGTCTCTGTCGATTAAAGAATATTGATCAGAATATTCCATGACTAGTCTGATTTAATTGGTAAATTCTCACAGCAATTTTTTCTATCGTTTATTTTTTTTTTGAACTGAATTTCAGTGGGTAAATAAAATTATTTAATTATTTTCGTAATTAAATTAATTTTATTACAAAATGAGGGCTAACATTTTATTCCTTTCCTTGTGAAAGGCTTCCTTTCGGCTAACATTTATTAATTCCTTTCATTGCTAAAGGCTAACATTTAATTCCTTTCATTACGAAAGGCTAACATTTAAAATTCTTTTCATTGCGTCACGAAAACTAAAATTTTATCTTTTTTTATATTAAATAAAAATAGGAAAAATAAAGAATCCTTGCTGCCATAGAAGTAATCTACATAAATTATCTCTATTTTTCGGATTGAAGATTAAGGATATAAAATCAAAAGAGATTAATGAGTGGATGAAAGCTACATTCAAATATGACTTTAATCATGTTAGAAAAGATCTTACCAGGGGTAGTAGTAAAATAATTAAAAAGTTAATCGATATTTTAATAATAATTATTAATAAAATTTAATGAATTATTTTAGTTACGGATTTATTCATTTTAAGTCTGTCGAACAAACAAATAAATTCTTTAATTTCGTAAAGAAAAAAGAACTTATTGGGCCACATAGGAAATATATTAAGTTTAAATTATCAACGGCAAATCCAACAGAAATTAATATTGGTGACATAGTAAGTTATTTAATATATATATAAGTTTATAAATTTTTTTATAATATATATATATTTTTGTTTTAGGAATTTGTTGGTCCCTCGAAAAAAAATCAAATAGAATTAAAGATAAATTCATTTTTCAAACAATCAAAAGGAAATACAGCGTCGAATAAAAATAATGCACAAAATTCATCTATTGGTAAAGGAAATATGGCGTCAAACAATGCACAAAATCCATTTATTGGTAAGTTAAGTTTAAATAATAAATATACCGTATAGTAACTAAATAATTTTATAGAGATGGAACGAAAGATCTTAGAGTTAAGATTAAAAAAACAAAATCTAGAAATTGAATTATATGAACAGGAAGAAAAAATTAAAAAAATTAAAGAAAATCTTCAAAAAGTCGAAGATCTTAAAACTTTGATTCAATTTAAGTAGTAAGTTTAAAATTTATAATAATTTAATATACGTTATTTCTCATCAAATGAAAACTCCATATAAATTGTATCAAAAGGTTCTTGTAATACAGCTTTATATATATATATAGCTTGAACATATAAACTTTTTGCATTAATATAATTAATTAATTGTAAATAAATATTTGATTTTTTTAATAAATTTTATTAATTTGGTTTTTTAAAAAAAATGGATTAATTTCAATCAAATATTTTAATTAAGAAATTATTAAGTATTCAAAAAAAATATAGCAGAATTTGATTCTGCCGACACCACATAAATTTCAATTTTTTTTAGTTTAGTGACCAACCCTATACACTAAAAATTTAATTTTCGCCTAATAAAACTTGCAAATCTTTCTTCAACTGAGCTTCATCAATATTCGAACTCTCATTAGATTGCTGCTCCTCAAAAGCTTGAAATATTAAGTCACGTTTTTTCTTTTGAAGTTCAAACACGCGGTCCTCAATTGTATTTTCAATAAAAATTCTAAAGACAGAAACTGGTCGAGTTTGACCAATTCTATAAATTCGATCTATAGCTTGATCCTCAATACTTGGATTCCACCAAGGATCCATAAGAAAACATTGATTAGCTGCGGTAAGATTCAATCCCAAAGACCAACATTTCAAACTAATTAAAAGAACCTTTATTTCTGGATCATTGTTGAAATTATTTACTGCCTACTCTCGCTGATTACGAAACATCTTGCCATCAAATCGAACAAATTTGACATTTGCGTCTTTAAAAGCAATTTCAATCAAATCAAGAAAAGATGTCAATTGGCTGAAGACTACTGATTTATCATCATCATTATTTTGATTTAAAAATTCCACCAAAGCTTCAATTTTGGAACTTATCTTAAAATCATTTAAATTTCCAATTTCTTCTTTGTTATCAATTCCATTTATTTGATTTATTTGTCTCTTACAAAGAAGTTGTGTGTGATTACAAATTTGACTTAGTCTAAGAAGCATTTCAAGGAATGTTACATAATTATTTTTTAAATTGCCATTTCTTGATTCTTTCCAACTTCTAAATTGTTCTTTTGTATCACTTTCCATTTTATCATAAATCTTTTTCTCGTCTGTCTTAAACTTAATTTTATGAGTATAGAAATTAATAGGAGGAAGACATACTATAGGATGTTCATTGAATTTCATGTCCTTTGTCCTACGAAGACAAACGGTTTTCATTAAGTTTCTTAAGTCGTTAAGACGACTGTTATTATTGTTTTTAAATTTCATTGTTTTGTTGTTAAATATAGTATTCCATGTTTCAAAATTATCAAAAGGAGTGAATCTTAAAAATTTAATTAAAGAATACATATCATTTAACTCGTTCATAATTGGGGTTCCTGTGAGAATCCATCTTCTCTCAGCATAAAAATTACATGCAGCAATACTTTGTTTTGATGATTTTGTACAAATAATATGTCCTTCATCTAAGATAACTCGAAGCCATTTAATAGCGAGTAATCCACTCCTTTCTTTTATATCTGATTGTGCAAGAATAGCATATGTAGTAATTATTATATCGTGATCTTTAAGGAATTCTGGATCATTATTTCGATTAATACCATGAAAAACGTAAAAAGAAAGAGACCCTTTCTTAACATGTATGTTGATTTGGTCAACCCAATTGTCAAGCACACTTAAAGGAGTAACAATCAGAGTAGTTTTAGAATATGTGGAATCTAAATTGATTGCAGGTTTGGAAGCTATCAAAGCAATCATTTGTATCGTCTTGCCAAGACCCATATCATCAGCGAGTATTCCACCTCTGTTAAGATTAGGGCGTGCTATTGTTGCAAATCTTGCTATTGTATTATAATAGCGTGTTTTTTTCGATTGCTCCTCCTTTTGAATCCAGAATTGAACTTCTTCATCGATAGTTGGCTCTTTAGGGTGTTCATTTGATAACATCCAGCCAAGGCTTTGTTTCTGATATGGAAGTAATTTCGTAATTAATGTTTCTGATTGTGGTGCTTCTAGAAGATTTACTAGAAATTCAGCTTCTGATTGTGGTGCCAAATCCAATTTTTTTGTACTTCTTTCAAAATCTTTGGAAATTTTAAATTTTGGTAATCCAACAACTGCACTGCTCTTGTTTTTTTTATAAAATTTTTGAAGAGTATTGTTATCTTCATTGTTGTTGACTCGTTTAATTCTAAATTTTGGTAGTCCTCCTGTATTATTGTTATTATTTTTGGTAGACATTGAGATTTTTATTTGAATAATTTTTATTTTGTTTGAGAATATTTATAAAAAAAAAATTATTTCTAATTAGTATATTATTAAATGGGAAAAGAAACCAAAGTTTCTAATTATTAATAAAAAAA